ATTTTAAAATCCATTTAATTTAAACCCCAATCACAATTAGTTATATATTTACTTACTTTTTTATTTTAATTGGGGTTGGATGTTACAAAAGGAGTGTCAGATTTATACCAATGTTACAAAAAAAAGGGCTAAAGATCCACCTAACATGGTTAGATGAGGCTCCCTGTAAATAAACTAGTTGGCTTTCTATGAATATATTCATTGGTATTAAGCTTCTACCACAACAAGAATAGAGCTTGTCACCCCACCATAGGATCTCTAGTAATTCATTGTCTTGATTTTTTGTTGCTTTGTATATTATTTTTATTGATATATAAAAGAAGTAAACATAAAATATTGAACTATTCAAATTGAAAATATGAAAATATAAATTAGAATGGAAATAATTAATTATTTAATTACAATAATCTTTCTTATATAGTTAGTTGTGTGTGCACCACCTAAATAATACTACAAAGTGCTAATAAGGTAGATAATGGAGATCACAAGTAAAGATTGGTATTCACTATCAAAAATTGGATTAGACCAACTAAATCAATCACCAACTAAAGAAAGGAGTCTAACTAGAAGGTTAACAATTTTAATTTAATTCAATAGTCCACATCTAAGGCTACAATATTATATATCATATTAGAGAATGGAATAAAGTCAGGACTTTGTTTAGATGAAGATTTTTGACAATACTTAGAGGGAAGAGAAAGAGAGTTTTGCTCGCCGAACATTTCCTTAAATCATAACCTAGGCAAAAATAAAAATAAAAATAAAAAAACCTAAAGGGAGATTTGATATCCCTAAGGTTTTTCATCCTAAAAGTAAGTTCCTAAATCTAGAACTTAGTTTTGAATTCAAGTTTAATGTTTGATTGATTTACAAAAGCATTATCACATTTCTTTTGTATATTTAGGTTTTAACAAAAGATCAAAATCTAGTTAGGTTTAGTTAGATCTAATCAAGTATATTTATCCAATAATTAATTTAGTTAAGTTTAATAATATAAGAGTTTTTTAGACTCCCATTAAATCAACTATATAAATATATAAAAATTATAGGAGAATCAATTGAGTATCACAATGAAAAATTCAAACAAGGGTATAGTTTAAGATGTGTGCTAAAAACCTTAACACACTCGACTTAAAAGTCAATATTCTACAAAAGCCAAGTTTAAGTAGACAAACTTTTCTAGAGAGAATGATCTTCTTATAATCATGTATCACATGCAATAATTTAAGAATTAATATAAATTTCTATCGAAAAAAAAAACTAAGATTTATTGAGGTCATGCAACTTTGGATCCCTTGCAGAGGTCTCAGCTAAGCATTTTAATGAAAGACCCAAAAATTAAGTATAATTTATTGGTGTTGTTAGGCATTTTAGCTTGTTTGACCTAAAGGTCAACTTCCTATATTTGAAATAAAGTTTATCTAAACAATTCTTTTCTAGAAAGAATAATCTTCTTATAATAATGTATTTGATGAAATTAATAATTTAAAGAAACATACAAGTACACAGTTGTAGTGCTCACGCACAATTTGCATGAAAATGGAAATAATGTAAGCATAAAGAAGATAAACCAAGAGAAATAAAGAGGTGATCTATTGGAACTCATATAAGCTTTTACATAAAGTAATAAACAAAATTAAACCCTAAACAAAGGTAAAAATATACAACACAAAAGTTATGGGCAAGCATATTTTATAGCTAATTATAACTATTAAAAATATTTCTTATTTAAAGTAGTCTTATGGAATCATTAATATTGGTTGAGACTCTTAAGTCTAAACAACCATATCTATATGAGATGACAAGTATGAACAAAGTGGCTAACATACATTTTTTTGTAGGCATACTTTACTTCTCACAAAACTTTTCTAAAATAGTTATTTTGCGAGTAGAATAAAGAATATTACAAGTAGATGAATAAAATTGTTTCTCATGTAAGTTATCACTCATGCAGTGTTTTGCTTCTTGGCATTCTTCAAGGTTATCACAGAGTCCAATAAAGAAGAGAAAGAATTAACTTCTAACTTTATGGTTGGTTCATAATAGTCTAAGTCTTATATTAGGTGTTTGTTGCAATAAAGCTTTGTTTTATTCTCTCTCTAAGTTTTTGCCTTTTTAAGATCAAATACAAGTCACAAGTGTATTTACAAGAGTTCTACTATTTTTAATTTTCTCTAAAGTTCTACCTCCCTTTTCTAAAGGGAGCAACCCCATTTATACTTTTTGGCTATTAAGTACTTAGTAGGTAAGACAGGTCTCACGTAATTATATTGTTTAAAAACTCAAAAGATAAAGAAGTAATAAAAGTATCCAACAAGTACAAAATGTCATCTAAAATTAAAGTTACTTATGAAATCTTCGTATTACTTTCAACATTTTAAAATTAATTTAAGAGTCCACTTCAATAGAGATTCTTCTTATCCTCCTTTATTATGTTAAATGCTAAATCTAAGGACTAAATTAAGGCATGAGCTTCTTTAATCTCCATTGAACAAGGAAAACAAATTCTTTACATAACCAAAAAGACAATTCAAATTATAGAGTACCTAGCCACCACTTCTAGCCTTATCCGTCCTCTATTCTTTTGCTAAGGCGCCAATGCTCAGCTTGATAAAACTATTAGGTGATGTTTCATGTGATAGGTTGTATGGGTCTTGAATCCATATGTGTTTCATTCATGGAACCTGTTTCCACTTGAATATTCATATTCACTCATTATACTTTGTAGCTTGTTAGACTATTGATAAGAAGTCAACCAAATTCTATCATGGACGCATGTATTTATTCTCTACATAAACTTTAAAGAATAAATAAACTATGATATATGATGACCATGAGTAGAACCCAAATGATGTCTAACCTACAAATCTAAACTTCAAGCTTTGTTTCTTTTAGCTCAATAGTTATTTACTTTGTTTTTTTTTTTTTTTAAGGATAGTTTATTTACATTTGTTTATACCTTTTTTTTATTTGTAATAATATTTAATTCTTTTATATATAAAAAAAAAAAAGAAATCAACTTTTTACCTAAATCAATAGATAACCAAAAGTGAGTAACACAAGCAAAAAAAAAAAAAAAATCAACAAGCTAACTTCATAGATAAACAAATGGTAAATCCCTTAGATTTTCTTTTTTAAAGTAAATCACTTAGATTGTGTTAGATTTATTTAGTGGGAATAAAATAATGGTTGAATTACAATCCAATAAATTAGGAATATAATGATAATTTAATTCTTGTCTTTGGTTGAACAAATAAAATATAATAATAAAATATATCTTATTTTATTAAGTAGATGGAAGACTACCTTAACCAGTATATTTTAAAATTTAGTTTATCTTATCTACAGTACCTTTATACACACACACACACACACAGATATATACTACATAAACATGCTAGCAAACCACAAATATCAAAATCAAATCACCTGCAACTGCAATGATGGAGAGAAACAATTTGATAAGTTGGGAACTTTGCTTTATAAGCAGGATATTTTAATAATTAAGCAACTTAATTACAATTTTTCATCTAAAAGTACATAATTTTTAATTCCACGAAGTAGAATCAGAGATTCCCCCCTTCCAAAAATAGGATTATCAATTACTATCTTTTCGGAATTGGAATCGAGTATTTTGAACCAAACAACAAAATTTTGTGGGAATTAAGCTGAAATGAAAATTTGAATTTAATAAAAATTAAGGCGAACAAAATGAAGCTTAATCTTATTACTGAAATAACAAATAACGAATAAATAACGAAACAAAAAAAGTGAAGAATAAGCGAGGCAAAAATAAATCTTTGGAGCAACTTAAATCACGATAAGGATTATGAAACATCTAAAGCTTGTAAAGAAACAAACTACAACAAATGCAAAGAGATAAGAAAGAGAAGTATAGACAATAACTCAACTCCCTAACTTAAAAGCATCCACAAAGAGACCCAAGCAAACACCGGCTTTCAAATAATTCATCATCACCACAAAGGATTGTATCCTTCGACTAGATAAAGGAGGCGGCTTCCTGTACATAAGCATTCCAATCCCTTCAATGGCTGCAACCACGACACCAGCGACCAGCACATCCCAGTCACCTGTCTGTCCAAGAATTGTAGCCAAAGCATTTGCCGTATAGAAACCCAATAGCAACAGAAATACCTTCATGGGGAAGTTTCTTCTTGCTGAATTAAGCTTCTCCAGCAGCTGTCTACCACTTGCACTTACTATCCTCCCTAACCGAGTGCCCCCGATATCAGAGCTGTCACTACTGATGTTCTCTTGTCCGCCGTCTCCAGGAATTCCACCTGTGTTTAATGCAAAGGGCATTTTCCATCCAAGTCTTGTCCTCTGGGAACTGTTTGTGAGAAATACAAGAAACGACTATTCATACAACCTACAGTACTTAAGTCAATTTAAGAGCACTTTTAGTTCAAATGAATTCAGAATCAGAAAGGTTATCTTCTAATAGGCATATTCATATGCATGGGCCCAACAAGTAACCATAACAAAGATTAGATTTTAATATTGTTCTGTTTTTTAAATGCTAAATGAAAAATGAAACCGACTATGTGAGAAAAGCATGTGAAAATGTACAAGGGGCTAAGAGATATAATTAGTTCACAATCTACAGGGCTCAGAATATCCATGGATTTACAGAAACTGAGATTGTTTTCAAGCACATGGTCATATTTTGAAATGTAAAGCTGTTGGGCAGTACACATAAAACCCAAGGATAGTCATAGAATCATAGGAGAGAAGAAAAACAGTCTATGTCAGCTTCGAAGATGTCATAATATTTAAGTTCATCATGAAAATTCCCAAATCACACAAATAACACTTGCAACATGAATTTTATTAGTAAACATTTGGTAGATCTTTGGAAACTGCTGTCATACAGACAACACACTTCAGTCTCCATTTAGTTAGTGATATCACAAGGAATGTCGATGAGTAGTATATGATAATGTTTTTCTACGGTCTTGTCCCTATAACAAGATAGGCTGCAATAGACAACTTGAATGCCAGAAATCTTTTTAAAATTACCTCTTTTTACGAAAGAATCTAGATTTTATGCCAACCATTGAAATTTGTTCACTTTGTTCATTGCTCCTCTTTGCGATTCCACGAGTTGCAGGAGTTACATATGCACTTTCACAGAATTCATTGTCCATATATATAAACGTGACTGTAGCAGTAGTAGTCCCCTCTGGCAGGCCATAACCTACAAACTTTCAAGTTTCAAAATGAATGAATTAAAGTGTAAAACATCAAACTAGAAGATGATGTAAAATCTTTAGCTTGCAAGTTCTCAATCAATTGCTAAATCCCAAATGCGGACACAGAATGCCAAATTATTGGGAGAAATTCCAGTGAACTACAAGATTGGCACCAGGAATCAAACTAAATAATTTTCCTGGTCTAGAGTAGTGCATCCAATTGATTATCAACTAAACATTGTACCAAATTTTGAATACTTCTCCAAACCTCATTACCAAAACAGAATGCAACAACATTACTGTTTTTCACAGGGAACAATCTAATGCAAGATACAAGCGACTAGCCACTGGTTCTCATCATTATGAAGCACAACTCATTTCCCAAAGTTCAAATATCTTCCTTTTTCTAGAGACTTTACCTGCAGGGAATGGATTCAACACCAACCTCTCCCTCCTACCACCCTTTTGTTGGTAAAATGGTCAAAGCTTTGATAACATAGTTCAAAATTCTCCCAACTTCAAACCTCCTGTTGATCGGAAGCGAATAAGCTTCAAATGAGGCTCTGTGAATAAAAAAATTTAGAGAGAAAATTGAGGAGAGAGAGGGCAGCAAAACAGAGCAAGCTAATGCAACTGCCTCTGTTTTGCTGTTTTTGAAGAGGCGTGCACTTTCTTTGGAAAGAAGAAGTAATTTCTTCTTTTTATTTCAGCATATATATAGAAATACAAATTTAAACAGATTATATCAACCAACCAATCAAATCAGATCGACCGAAAATCATGCATACACATCGCATGGAATTTTACGTATACTTCCGTGAAACAACTTCACGGTGGATTTCCTTTTTTTTGAATTTAAACTCAATCGGACAAAATTATTAAATTTAACACTCCCCCTTAATGACTTTTTTCACCAATCCCCACCTTTTCCCGCAATTCCTCAAATTTAGCTTTAAACAGGACCTTGGTTAGAATGTTTACAAGCTGATCATCAGTGGAGCAATGTATCAGCTTTATTTCTTGATTCCTCTCAGCCTCACGTATAGTATGATACTTAACGTTGATGTGTTTAGTTCTCCCGTGCATTACAGGATTTTTCGCAATGGCAATTGCAAACTTATTGTCCACATACAACACTGTAGGTGTTTGTTTGTCCAGCTTTACATCATTGAACACCTTCCTCAACCAAATTGCTTGGTTAGTTGCTGTAGCTGCGGCTACATACTCAGCTTCAGCTGTGAACTGAGCCACAGTATCCTGTTTCTTAGATGCTCATGAAAAAACACCGGAGCCTAGTTTGAACAAGTACCCAATTGTGCTACGTGCATCTTCTACGCTTCCTGCCCAATCACTGTCACTGTAGCCGACTAATCTACCCTCAGCTCTTGCTTTGAATTGAACACCAAAATTCCAGATTCCTTTCAAGTACCTCAACACATGTTTGGCAGCTTGTAAGTGTGATTCCCTCGGTGAAGCCATGTACCTTGAAAGCAAACTTACTGCAAACAAAATGTCTGGTTTGGTAGCTGTGAGATATAGAAGGCTCCCAATCAGACTTCTGTAATTCCCCTCTTCAATTTTGCTACCTTTCTCATCCTTTGACAATTTCAGGTTGGACACCAGTGATGTAGATACTGATTTACAGTGATTCATGTTGAATTTATTTAGAATTTTTTTGGCATAC